AATAAAGTAAAATGCTATCTCAATACATCATAAGGCTACCATTTTTTAATTGATTGTCCAATAAACCTGAACTTCTAGGAACTAGAGGAAACTGAGACCAGAACACCCATGTGCTGCACTTCTGCTCAGAAGGAGAGGAAGACACAAAGGTAGAACAAGCAGCCATGTCCCAGGATCTACATGCACCAGGCTTCTTCTTCTGCCCCTATTCACACACCCTCACACCTGGGATCCACCACACATCTGAGGCCTCCATACTTACAGCCTGCAGCACGGGGCTGACAAGAAAGGCTGGACCCAGCAGGAACTGATTATCTATGTCCCATGTCACCGGGTCTGACACAAACCTGGGAAGGGTAAGAAGATGTCACAGTCAGAGTCACAGCCCAAGTCTCCGAGGAATAACTCAAGTTCAGAGGCAGGTCTCTCATCCAACTCCATTTTATGTCATCCTTAGTTCTTAGTCTAGATTGATCAGGAACGTACAGGCTCCAACACTGTACATGTCATGGTCCCTCAATATCACTTCCTCCATGGAAGCTTAAGTTTAGATATGTTCTGTCATTTAWAAAATTCTTCACTGCATTCTCATGGTATGTTATAAATGCAAGGAAGGCCCTCAATGCCTTTTTTTGTGAACTCATTTTGGCCTCAGTTCATATAATCAAGGAGTTATACCAGATATAGAGGTCTCTACATGCACAAATTAGACAGAAATCAGGCTGTGTTCCATCATTTCAAATATTTGTCACTCAATAAATAATCTTTCATCAAAGACACATGGTGTGAAAAACATGGGTTCCAAGTGTGCTCTCAGCTTGGAGAGCTCCTGATAAAAAGAACACATGTCTTGGTTTGGAAGAAATATTTGTTTACATCAACTGCCACCTTATAAAATCTGTTAGTTGCTTGGATCCCAGCTGGACACTTACTCGTGCAGAAGAGGCCGCACCACAGTGCTGCCCTCCGTGTGGGCCTTGAACATCAAGGTGTACAGATATGGCAACAGGGTGTATCGGGTCTCCATCACACTCCTGGAAATATTCACAAAGGCAGCATCCCAGGACACAGGGTCTTGTCTCTAAGGAATAAAAGCAAAGGTGTTGAGAGCCCAACCCAGGGACCTTAGGGGACCAAAGGAGGTAAAGGAAAGCTTGACCCAAGTACATCACACACAGCTAAGATAAAGGTGATTAAATACACTTAATAGTCTGATAATAGTCAGTGAGGATCTTCCAGGAGACCTCATGGAACTTTGCCAAAGAAACACTTCAGAGATATACTTGGAGCAATCCTTGCTACACCTAAAGAATCCTCTGATAATCCTGTGTATTTTGGCAATTGTGAGGAGCTTTGATGGCTTTGAAAATCTCCCAGGAACAAAGATGGTCTGGACTGTGACTCCAAGGTGAAGGCTGCACAGCATGTGAGGCAAAGCACGTGAGGAAGGAGGAAGGTCCTACCCTGGTGCCAATGGTGTTGTGGTTCCTGGAGAAGGGGTAAAAGGCTCCCAGCTGCATCCAGCGAGCACACATCTCATACTCAGCATCTTGAAAGAACCCACAGATATCTGCTCCTGTCTGAAACCAGAGGAAATGAAACCAGCCTGTGGGTGATTGCTCAGGRGTGTCAGTGTCCTCTTAGGGATGAGAGGAGCAAAGGTCACTTACATAGGAGATGCCAAAGAGGCTGAACTCCATCATGCCTGCAATGAGAACCACGGCTGTCAGGAGAGGCATGTGTGTGCCCTGCCCTCTCCTCCCTCCTTTCCCAAGGMCACCAGCTCCCTTCCCTGCAGCAGAGGCCCCTGGGAACAAGCCACACACCAATGATAGATTTCTTCAGCTGGTCCCATGCGGCAGTGTTGTCTCCCAGCCAGTGTCCTCCCCAGCGGCCAGAGGAGGGGAATGTGGAGCGGGTGATGACGATCCCTCGCTGTCCAGTCACCTCCTGCACAGCTCTGGTAGGAGGGGAATGTACAGGTGAATTGAGGCACAGCAAGAAGAATGGATGTAGAGCATCCCCCTCTATAGCTCTTGAGCCAGGTACTAGGTGAGAAAATATGATCTATATATTTGGAGGGAATATTGAAATCTATGCAATGGAAAGGACCCTACTGACTTATGAAATGCCTAGCAGGGGTATATCGTCTTATAATATTTTATAATGAATTTCACCACATTGTAGATTCACTGGATTAGCCCTCCACACACAAAATCACTAAATCTTGCTATTATTTGTCCTTTGTTTTATTTATTTGAGAAGAAAAGGGAAAATCACTTTATGGAATATACTTGGAATAATTTGTATTAATAATTCAGTTTTAAAGTGGTACTATGCTAATTCCACAGAAGGACCACTTACTGTATAAGAATAAATAAGAATGCAGATATATATGTGACATTTTCATACACATGGGAGTGATGTCCATCCCATGACCTCTTGTAACTAATACTATTACAGAAACAACTATATTGTGTAATACTTACTGATGTGACCCTATGATTGTTCCCAGTTAGGCCTACTAATTTCTCATTGATAAGACTATGACTGATTTTAATCCGTACTCCAAATTTTAATAACAGTGTCTGGCTCCTTGTTGAAGGATTTTTTTTTAATATTTAACAATTCCTGTGGGGTTATAATTAAATACTCTTTAACCATTGGAAAGAATTCTGGCAAGAAAACTAGGGAAGCTATGCCCATTACTCCCTTTCCCCCTATAGCCTATGCCAATTCAGAAGGAAGACAATCACTCACTCATATGTGGGTCTGGTCTGGGACCACCCATACAGGCTGTGCACATCATAGTGTCGCACGCGGGAGCCATCTGGAAGGATCTGCTCACTCTCCATGCACAGGGTCTTGCTGCTTAGGCCCCGGTCCCTGGACTCCAAATCTGAGGGAAAAGATTTTGGAAGGTGAAAGCAAGCCCTGATTCTTTTAAGCCTTTAATCTCTTTAAGGGACTGAACTCTGGAACTAAAGACTAACCTGACCTCAGCATGTTTCCTGGAGGAAGCTGAGATATGGAAAATGACAAGGGCTTTTCAAACACAATCAAATTGGGTTTAAGCTAGACTTTGAATATGTAAATTATTTCATTTCATTTTATCATCATTCTAAGAAAAAGATAGGGTTACCTGTCCTACAGTTTAGAGCACTAAGATTTGGAAAACTGAATCATCTGTGGAAGGACACAAGATTCATGGAAAGAATATTTTCTGGAGCCTGGATATATATGCAAGAACACCTCAATCATCCATCAGTTCCACAACACAGAGCTACTTTACCAACCACTTTACCAATTGTGAAATAACTTCCTGTGGATAAACTAATTAATTTCAAAGAGCATTTGGATCTTAAAACATTCACAGGACTCACGATTGAAGGCCTGCTGTCCAAAGCAGCAGCGTTTTGAGTGGGGTTTTGGGAGATCATAAGGGCTCTAACCATATCAACTTGTTAATAAATTGATGAATTCAGAGATGAGCAAGCTATTAGCAGGTATGGCAGTTGGGTCCGACTTGAGGAAACAGGTTACCAGGGGCATGCCTCTCAATGATAATTATGTTCCAGGTCCCTCCCCTCCCACCCCAAATCCTGGCAACAATGTGATGAACAGTTTCCTCTATAACTAGGGACTAAAATTCTTTCCTCCTTTAAAAATTTAAAAGATTTAAAAATCTTTCCTCCTTTAAAAATGGTTATCTTGGGTTATGTTCTGACAGACTTGGAAATTGGAATAGATTCAGTGTTCTTTGGACAAATCAAGAATTTGACCAAGGAATTCAATCACATGCACACATACTGCTGGTAAAGTGCTTCAAATGTTTTAAGTCTCTGGCCTCAATAAATCACAGCAACCCTGAATCTGTTCCCTGAGTGATCGGGGCAAATCTCTGCCTCTTGAACTCTTGCAATAGTCATCTTTCTTCCAGCCAGTGCAGGTGGAGGAACCCCAGGGTCCTTACGTGGCATGTAGGGAGGACGGTTCAGACTGGCATCACTGCAGCCTGAAGGAACAGCCCCATTGACAAAGCTCGATGGTTCATTCATATCCTAGAAATGTCAGACACAGACATCAYTTACTTTTAAAGATAGTTACCTACTGAAAATTCAGAGACAACAAAATATTGAATAAATCATCCAACATCTAATAATCCTTACAGATTGGTGTCATGGGAGATTCACCAAATCCTGGTGAGATTTGTACAGAATGCTCAATTACCTCTATAGAATTATTGTCTACAGAAGTTAAAAAAAAATCTCTCTTAAACCAATCAAAATTCCAAGGATTTCCACCTCTCACCCTCCAAGTGAGATAGCAGGACTCTGGTGGGGTACTAAGTAACAGGGGAGTCAGGGCTGCTCCACTTGCCACTGGAAGAAATGCTGTCCTAAACCTTTTAATTATTTCTTGGATGATTATCATCATCTTTACTACATATCAGTGCTCCATATGGTCTTAAGCAATGATAGATACACACACACACTTACAATCCACATGCCATCAAACTTCAAGCTCTTCTCTGGATTCTGTGGATTAGAGTATAGTTCTGCAATTTCCCTCTTCCACCACAAGGCAGTTGAATTACGGAAAAAATCTGGGAAGGCCACATAAGCTCGGTATGCCTATAAAAACAAAATATAATTCATTTCAGCCAAACAAATACATTAGAAAATAAATAAGTATCTTCTAAGAACTACATGATACTAAGTACCACTTGATGGTAGACAGTGCTAGTCTGAACAGAGCCTACATATTGTCTGGGTTTACTAGAAATAAACTGAGGGTGTTGAAGAAAATAAGAATGAATTTCACATATTTGAAAATGACCATAAACTGTTTCCTCTTCATACCATCATAAATGGTATCAAATTAACACCCTGACTCACTGTCCCATGCTTCAAGATGCCCAGCCTCCAATTTCTATCTGGCCATTTCTTAAGCTCTCTTTGAAGATCCTGCAGGAGGCAGGGCGCAACTGTAGCTGGAAAGGGCAGGTATATTAGGTACTCTACTAGAGGGAAGGCAACGTACTGGAGGCATGGTACTGTGTCATTTCCACTGGGAACATGGGGAAACGGAGAGATTACATTTCATGACATTAGACTGGCATGCATGAGTGTTTTCCGTGGCTTCAGAACCACATGTGCATTGCAGTCGTGTGTAACATACTATGGGAGAACTTAAGGAGGAAGCTTTAATAAATCTCTTTTTCTTCGCTCAAACAGAAAGAGCGATGTCTTCATCTGAGCATGAAAAGTGGATCTAAGGAATCACTTCTGAACAAGACTTTAAACTTTGCAGAAGAAATGACCTTGTCTTATATTCTTCTGATTGATTTCTAGATTCTCAACAATACACACCTTAGAACCTACCATAAAAATAAGAAAATGATAATAAATTTTCTGGGCTCAAACACCTCACAGCAGCAAATATCAGTGACTGTCTATGTACTCCATGTTGTTGCTTAGGGCACATCATAGCCTTTGGTGTGTCTCAAAACAATTGCTGCCTCTTTGTATATTATAGGAATCAAAGAGATCAATAATGCTGGTGTTGAGGTAGAGTCAATGACACAAAGAACTTGATGTAGGGGCACTCCAGCTCTCATACACAATACAACACAGGCAAGTAGAAACTCATGTTTCTAGGTAAAAGACAAAAAAGGAACACCAAAAAATATGGAAATTGATTGGCATGCACAGATCTGGCTCACAGGGATTGAAAGGAGTTCCAGCTATGGTCATGTCAGAAACCATGACAGGGGAGGGGTGTGGGTATTAGAGAAAATGGCCAAGATCAGTTGTTCCTGGCTGAGAATTGTATCCTATGTGGGATATAAGGGCAGTTATGCCAAGCAGAGTTCAATAACCTAACTACATGCTGCTGGAATGACCCTTGCCCATACACTAAATATTCTCTGCCATTCTCGAATTTAATCCTTGTATTGCTTCTGTCCTCACTTTCCCTGATCTTCACACAGAGATGTGCACATATGTAGGAATGGCCCAAGATGGCTTAATACAGTTCACTGCATACTACCCTAACTCAATTCCCAGAATTACTGAATCACACATGCAAGTTTTGACCCAGAAATCTACTATTCCATGGGTTTTCGGCCATTTGTTTGCTTGTTTGTTTGCTTTCCTGTTTGTATCATTTGCCCTCAGCAATGCCAGACCTGGACATGACTAATCTCAACATAGCCAGCCTCACCATGCAGGTCTCATATAAATTTTATACTTGTTCAGTCTCCTGACAGAGCTATCTAATGAAGTGTTTCTCATCAAAGGCACAATTGGCACTTGGGGCAAGAGAATTATTTGTAAAGAATACCCTGCTATCAGAGTTATGTGCACCTATAGTCACTGCTCACTAAATGTCACATGGTGCTCCCATAGCGCTGTGATAACCCACACTGACACACAGACTTCTGAATCCCCTCGATACCATAGTTAGAATGGCCTAATGGCTGACTAGCTATAGAATTCATAAGGTAATAACCAATCCTATAATTGATGAAAGCACACATCTACCAATGTAAACATCTAGAGACAGGGAATACGTGTCTCATAATGTCTCTGCCATGATCAGTTGTTTGTCCACATGAAGTACTTGGATGGCCAAACTTCAAGTGACCCTCTATAAAAGTCAACTAGGTTTTCTCCCTTGAATTGTTACTAAATACATGATTAGATGAATGAATAGACAGGTTGATCAATTCATTTATAGATAATAGATATGGAGAGTAGGAAAAAAATTGAGTCTGAATCATTCTTTCTAATCTTCACACTTTACCCAAGTTCAGGTTCTATTTCTTCTACTACATCTATCTCCACCATGTACAGATGCACAGTCCAATAGCCAAGGAGTTTGGGGTCCCAGGTTGGGGTCTATCATTTTGCATCTAGAGGACTTTTGCTACCTACYACCCGGGGTCCCGAATGTCAGAGACCAGCACCAGGTAACTCTACCCCACTGGATCACAGCATTGTCTGTTATTACTTCTGTGTGAAGGTATCCCATTCGTGAGGCCTTGCTCATAAAAATATGATGGTTCTATCTAAATGTAGATCTTTCTCTCTAGGAACAACTAATTTCTAGTCTTAAAAAGGCATGAATATTTGGCCCTAGTCCTCCCTTCCTTGGGAAGTGGAGTCTTTCTCCTATACATCCATCCACTGGCTAGAATCTTATATTGCCTGGAAAAAGATCCCAAAGGGGTCTTTGTCCAGAAATGCTAAGTGGCTAACACCATATTTCATAGCTGCTGTGCTCTGTTCCCAGAGTGCTGATATTTCTGCAATTTAATCCATGATCTTGATAGAGTTTTGAGACACTAAAACTCATACTTCTTTGCTAACCACACAGAATCTTGCTTCATTTTTCCTTCAACCCTTGAAGATGCCCTGGGGAAGCAGGGCTTTTCTTTGACTTCCCAACTCCTCTGTGGAGGTTCATAGACTTCACATTCCCTACTACAGTGCCTGGCCAGAAAGAATAATTATTGTGGAATAAGGGATAAATACGGTAAGGATGTCCAGAAGAATAACTCTCCACATGAGTTCCCACCCTACCCTGAGGGCCGTGTTCCAGGTAGCACGCAATTGATGATAAACAGGCTGACGGAGTTGGTACACAGCTTGACCTCACAATCAGGCTGAAGGCTCCCTGGACAAGTAGGAAACCATGTAGGTGTTCAAGCAACAAATGCTTCTGAAGCTGAAAGGAAACTAGGTCGGAATCATGGGACACCTTGATCCATTACAAGCAAGAAGCTACTACAAAGATGGGTCAAACTTTCAATTAAATGCTAGAAACCTAGAGGTAAAAGTTAGAGGAGAGGAGAGATCCTAGGCAAGATGGAGGTGGGGGTCAAGATTATAAGTGTGAAGAGGAAGAAGACCATCCATAAAAAAAAAAAAAAAGATGTGCAGAGGGAAAATCCCAATCACTAAGACAAAAGTTGGAGATTCTATTTACAAGGGATACCCAAGGCAATGACAATCTCAAGAATTATATTAATTCTAAAAACAGAGAGCTCATCTTCAGRTTTCACGGAGTGGAGAGTCCATGGCCCTTTGAAATATGACATGCCTGGACTGGAAATGAACATTGTGTGACCAAAGCCATGAAATGTAATAATTTTAACTTTTTGAGTAAGAAATCCCACAGATAGCAATACCTACTCTCCCCAACCTGGAAGAATACCATATGTAAAGGCATCAGCATACACTGACACCCAGGATGTATTTCATAAGTAGGGCATGTACAGTATAGTGGGTATAGCTGCCCAACTAACACAAAGAGCCTTTTACCTCCACTTGACTGTCCCAGTCTAGAGAGCTGTTAACAACAATATCAGGGTAATCAGGCCACACCTGCAGARAGAAAAATATTTAACAGCAATGYACTAGGCAATTTACCTATGTAGGATTACCTAAGACTGTCAACCACAGCCCTACAGAGTAATAAAACTTTTGATTATCATGTAGGGTTTATCAATATGAAAGTGAAATCCACAAAGTCCTCAATATATCAATAAATACTAACTAAGAAATGGAAACTAATGACTTCAGTATCCACAAGAAAAGGGTAAAAAATACACAAACACACAAACTATGGCCCTCTCCCACGATGGAGACTAGTAGTCACCACTTAGATCATACCTTTCCCCAGACAATGCCTCCACCATTTGGATATTTGATGAAGACATCATCCTCCACTCCCCGAGTGAAGGCRGGRTAGGGCTKTGTCTCATTGCCAGAAATGGCTGGGTCCTGCAAGCAAAGCWCAAGTCAGTTGKCAAAACAAAGAGAGAGATTGACAAGGGACAGAGAAAAAGAACTTCTTCAYTGGGAGGTCCCTAGCTTCCACCTACCCTCTAAAGTTCCTGGGAATCTCTGGAAATATACTTTTCTTATTGTACTTGGAGTTCTCTGTTCTTCATATGGATAGAGGGACAAGAAAAGTGGTTCTCCACCAAGCCCAGTCCTCCTCCCAACACACTCCATCCACACAGGCACAAAAGGACTCACCAGGATGAGGATGACCCGCATCCCATCAGCCCTCATGCGATTGATCAGGGCTGGAAACCCAGCAAACTTGGGGCTGAGGGTAAAGTCCAGTTGGCGCTCCATGTAGTCAATGTCTGAGTACTGCACATCCTGGGGGAGGACACAAGGAAACAGTGGCTGCTGGTGCTGAAATTCCAGCTCCCAGAGGAGAAACACTCCCACTCCTGATGGTGAATTCAAATGGCTTCTTTTTACCCTTGCAAATCCCTGTTCCATCACTTCTTCTTTATGGATCCTTAGAAATCATTTAATTTTTCAAGTTTTCACTCATAGAAAAAAAATCCTACTCAGCCAAAACTAGGATAATGATTCCTGTCAGAAAGGATTGTTGTCAGGATAAATAAAATCACCAGATGAAATATTGTTTTGTCAATAGCCACATAGGAATGATTGTAGGGGCTGGACATACTATCAATGGTTCATGTTCAGAAAAAGTAATGATAACAATCCACACCTAATAAAATAATAAAATAAGGAATTATAAATATACTACAAACAAGCCAAAGAAAAACTTGTAATTGCTTTAAACTCTATAATCATGGGGTTAATCACACACAGTTTTTTCATTAAAATGGCATATATCAAGTGATGTCCTCTCCATTCATGGAACAATTGTATACCATAGGAAAGGAAGTCCAATAAAATTAAATATGAAATTGGTCCACAGGATAAGCTGATACTATTGCACAGCTCTTGTCCTAAAGGGAAGCACAGACTTTCTTCTAGAATCTACTMCAGGATCCCTATGTTCAGACATTGATTAATTTAAGGCTATGGCACATTATACTGTAGCACTAATAAGGTATGGGACTGAAGACACGTCTACATACACAATGATCTGAGAATGAGGTAAGTTTTTCAATTAAAGCAAACTATTGTCGAGGGAGGTTTTATTCTTATGGAACCATAGACTTTCAGAATAAATGTCTTCAAGTCATGTAAAAGCAATTCAAGGAAGCACGCTACAGCAGAAAATGTCCTGGAGTCTGCTCTACCTCCTTTGATAGTCGCAAGTGCCATAACATGGACCTTGGCTCCCCTCTGTATAACTGTGCTCAGATGAGGCTCAGTGTGGCATCATGTCMAAAAGCACTTTATATCTTTGCAAAATCTCAAAAAAAAAAATCCAATAAGTATATCCAAACACAGAGATGCCTGGGTTAGCTACAAATCACAGAGCCAGTGCACCATGACTCAGACATACATAAGGGATCTGGGCAGCCACCATCTCCTCATACAAGCTGGCGATCTCAGAGTCATTCTCATATCCATAGCGACACAGCTGGAAACCCAGGGACCAATAAGGTACCATCACAGGCCGTCCAATCACCTAGAAAATGGACAGAGCAGAGCAGATTAGTCTTAAATATATATATCTTCGTATTTACTGATGTAACAACTTTTGCCAGGTCTGCTAACAATGGATTTTTTTTAGTTTTTTTTTTTCTAATTTGTTCTTTTTAGTTATACCCAACAATAGAGTATATTTTGACATATTTATACAAACATGAAGTATACCTATAAATAGGTTCCCAATCTTGTGTTTGTACATGATGTGGAGATTCACTGTGGTGCATTTATATACGTACATAGGAAAATTAAGTCAGATTCATTCTACTTCATTTTAGTCTTTATAAGAGCAGACACATTAAAAGTATACACAAAATAATAAGAATATACTACTCTAAGTTAGAAAATCAACAAATTAAAAGTGAAAGAGAACCTTAGCAGATGCAAAACCACTGGGACACCTTGAGAAAGCTTGCTAGAAAGGAGATCCTTCTCCTAGAATACTGTAAAAATCTAAATTTGCTCTCATTCCTAGAAGTACCTAGGTTATTGCTGAGAAGAATAGAACCCATGGGGGAAATGCCTGGTTTTGCACAAAGGCTCTATGTCCTGCTAATTCTGTGACCTTGTTCAAATTTAAGTAAACATTTTAGGTTTTCAGTTTCTTTACTTGTAACTTGAAGATAATACTAGTGTTTGTCTCAAAACATTTTTATGAGACTGAATGAGTTAATAAATGTAAAGTGCTCTGATATGTAGTAAGTAATAGGTAAGAGCTTGTAGTATTATATTAAAGTTTTTCTACCCAACAACTGCCACTGTCACCACCATTCCCCATCAACATCAACCCATCACCACCAACATAACTATCAGGCCTCAAATTATCACCATCATCACATCATTCCCACCACATTCACCACCACCATCTTCACCTCTCCATCATGACTACCACTTAACCATTACCACCAAAACTATACCCACCACCATTACAACTCACCTCAACAGTGACCATTACCCTCATTACCTTCACTGCCATATCACTGCACTGGCATAACCACTACCACCACCATCATAATCACTACCAATATCACCACCTACAATACCACCATCAGTGTCACATCAACAGATCTACCATCACCCACACTACCACAATTACCATCACCATTACCTTCATCAGCCTTCCACCATTTTCATAAACATGATTACCACCACAGTCCCCATACCATCTTGTCCATCATCACAAGAGCTGTACCCACAATCTCTTTTTCAACTACCAACATTGCAATCCTTCATCTGTTTATCAATCCACCAGCATCTCCGTCTCCCACTTTACTCAGCATGCCACTTTTACCATGTCTACTCCTGATACACTGAAATTTTTAGGTTATGAATATAAGAAGTATTGGAAAGTTTTCATTTGTCCTGAATCTGTAACCTGCCTGTCTCTAAGATACACCAACAATTCTAGTAATCACATAGTGTTATACTAATGAATACAGGTTTTAGAATATTTAGGATGTGCTGCACAAATATATGATTACCAAATGAATTCCCTCCTACCTCAGTGTACTGCTGGGTGACAAGCTCTGGAGTTGGCCCCAAGAACATATAAAAGTCCAGAATTCCCCCTGTGGTGCGGTATGTGAGGGCAGGCGTAGGCTGGAATGTCACATCTGAAAAGATAGGAAAGTGACAAATGACAACCAAGATGGAAACCTTGAGGGCGAGGAATTACCTCTAAAATCTATATGTTTTATCTCTTGCCTTATAGAGTATTAAGAGAAGTATTACCCACCCAGTATTGTAGAAGTTCATTAAAAGATTACAGGGTTCCAGGGTCCCATCTCTGCCTGTTTTCCTTTGGTATATCTTATTACTTTATGATGTTTACTTATTATGTTGTTTTAAAATTGTTATACTGACTTGATCACTTAAAACTCACAAAAAGTTTGAAAATTAATGCTAAGAGTTTCCAAGTATATGTCACCCAGCTTCCCCCAATGACAATGCTCACATAACCATTATAGGCTATAGAAGCAGAAAACTGAAATTAAGAAAATATTAACTCAGGCATGGAGCCTATTCAGATTTCACCAGATTTTACACACATTTCATTTTCCCAGACTCCTGATTTTTCTCCTGTTCCCTATATTCAAAATATTTTCTTCCCATATTCATAGTCACCAAATGAGTTTTCTGACTCATAGCTTAATAATTAATTTAAATAATGTATCTGGTTATCACCAACTGACCTTCAGGATATACGGGATTCAATTAGGATTGATATCCTTCTTAGGTGAGTGTTGCCAAAACAAGAATTGGATTTAAACTTGTTGTCGCATGGACCAAATTTAACATAAAAAGAAACTGCCACCCTCAAGATACTACTTTTGACATCAGGATGCTCATAGGTCAAATAAATTCTACAGTTACACAGATAATTGATTTGAATACAAACTAAGAGGAGCGCTGGCATCATCCTACCCATGGCATTGCTGTTCAGCAGGAGAACTCCATGGGCACTGCCATCCTCCTCTAGTCCCATGTAGTAGGGGTGGACGCCATAGGAATTCTTCTTGTACTGAGAGTCACAGGGGAGAAATCAAAGGAGGTTAGAAGTCATTGTGCCTGAGAACGTAACTCAAGAAAAATTTGTTCACTAAATGAATCTGATCTTTTCTCTGACATGAGTTAAATACATAAGAAACACACATGAAAAATGACCCAAAAAGAATTTTAAAAATCTAAGTTGAGTCTGGTTTCATGTAGCACAAGGTGATCATGATATGGGAAGAAAGAGGCAGAGTACTGTTCCAGAGTACTCTCTGCTTACCCCAGGGGGTTCATCTCTGGAAAACATGCCCCACGTGTGCCAGTTCAAGTCTCTCCTGAAGGCTGTGTGCTCATTTTCCCCAAAGCCATAGATGTACTTGGAGGGCAGGCGGGTGGAGATGCGGATGAACATGTCATTGAAGGTGAAGCCAAGGAGCTGAGAGTCCCAACTGCAACACACACACAAAAAGGGTACATTCAGAAAAGAAAATCACCTTGCCTATTGCCTTCCAAATGTTAATTTTCTTTTTCTTTAATTATTTTTTATTTTTAATTTGTTCTAACTACTTATAATACATGATAGTAGAATGCATTTTGACACATTGTACACAAATAGAGCACAACTTCTCTTTCCTCTGGCTGTACATGGTGCAGAACACACTGGCAGTGTAATCATACATGTATATAGGATAAAACTGTCCGTCTCATTCCACTGTTCTGCCCAAACCCACACCCAATCCCATCCCCTCACTCACCTCTGCACAATCCAAAGTTCCTTCATTCGTCCCTACCTCCCCGCATTATGGATCAGCATCCGATTGTTAGAGAAAACATTCAGCCTTTGGTTTTGGAGGGTGGATTATTTCACTAAAACTCTGACTTTTCAAGGACATTGGAAACTTTGATTCTCCCACAACTGAGAATCCATTCATCTCCCAACTCAACACAAAGTCTGTCTGGATTAATCACAGATATCCTTGCAGTAACCCCAGCAGTGGCCCTTCATATTCTTGTTCCTTCTTACACACCCTTCTTTCAGTTCTCCTACCAAGAAACCAAATTCAGTCATGTCTTACCATCTCACCTACTACCACTCCACACAACTTCCTGCAGGAATCCGGAATGATATGTTTAAGAGTATATTGTGTCATTTCACCAACCTGTTTAAGCCCTTCAGTGTCTTCCCATGAAAACACCCCATGATTTGGAATCGCATGGAAATGGAAGGCGATCCTCAGGGTTATACAAAATGACATATAAGAGGAAAGGAGGGGTAAGACAAGATAATTCAAATGGAAGAAGTGATTTACAGTAGAAGGGGTAGAGAGAGAAAAGGGGAGGGGAGGGGAGGGGAGGGGAGGGGGGATAGTAGAGAATAGGACAGACAGCAGAATACATCAGACACTAGAAAGGCAATATGTCAATCAATGGAAGGGTAACTGATGTGATACAGCAATCTGTATACGGGATAAAATTGGGAGTTCATAACTCATTTGAATCAAACTGTGAAATATGATGTATGAGGAACTATGTAATGTTTTGAACGACCAACAATAAAAAAAAAAAGAAACAAACAAAAAAAAAAAAAAAAAGAAAGAGGAAAAAAAAAAAAAAGAAAACACCCCATGAAGCCTTCCAGGCTACATCTGATCCAACCCACCTAAAATCCCAGTTTCATCTCCTACCACTCACTTCCTTTCTTACTACTGTGGACTGGTTTATTCCCTTCACTATTCAAGTTACCTCCTGTTTCATTGTTCCTGCTCTTCCTATTCCCTCCATGAGAAACATTCTTTCCCTTCTCTCAAAGATCCATATGGGAGGTTCTTTCTTGTCTTCTATGTCTTTTTCTCAAATGTCAATTCCTTAATGAGAGAACTAACTTGATGGTATCAAAAGCAATAGCATCATTATAACTCTTGATTATCCTGCACCACTTTTTCTACAGTTTTCACTGTCTCAATTTCCTTTTAATGTTGTCATATAAATTATTTTCATTGTAATTAGGCCAGAGAATTCATCTATCTATAAACACAATATCTAAAACAGTAGCTACAAAACAATTCYCATAAGAACAGAGCTGAAGAAAATAATTTATGTATGGATCTTGAAAAATGGCAATGTGAGGTTTAGAGCCATTGGACCTGGAAAGGAATAGACAGGTACCCAACAACTGTAAATCAAAAGAGGAGCCACTTACATTACAGTGCCTGTACTCTTCCGGCGAATTTCAATCCCAAATGGATTCTCCTTAATGAGGACATCATAGAGTCGATTCTCGGAAGTGCTGGATGGAGCCCTGGGAATGTTCAGGGGGACTGGGACTTCATACCGACTATTGTTGGGATCATAAATCTAGGCCAGAGGAAATCAATTTTAGGTAAGGATACAGATAGGAGGAATGAGCTTTGGTATTCTATTATACAGAGAGTGATAACAATATTGTATCATGTAATTCAAAATAACTAGAGGAAAGGATACTCAATGTTCTCATCACACACAAATGACAGATGTTTGATTGATGCATGACCTGCTAATTCTGAATTGATGAATTTACAGAATGTATATATGGATCACATATCACAATTAACACCATAAGTGTGTAAAATAATTATCTGGTTAAATATAATTTAGGCAAGAATTCTACTCTTTAAATCCACCCCCTTAGCAGAACCATGACATCTTGGACAATGTGTCTGGATGTTATCCTTCATGACTTCTTTAAGTTTAAGATAACTGAGATTGACTTAATACATAAAAGAACAAAGTCAGATTTAAAATTTACTCTGAGTCTGTCATATTCATTGTTAAGGCTTCCATTACACTCTCTGGTTCCTTTGACTTTGGCATCTACTTGAAAATTATTCCAAAATCAGAGCTGTATTTAAGAATGATTTCTGAATTATTTTTGTGTGTGAATATCTAAGGGGATGTGATTTCCTGAAATTTTTTCAGAATTGTTTCCTCCCAAATACAGGAACTCTTTTTTGTTTTTTTACGTTGTTAATGGATACAATACTTTTATTTTATTCACTTATTTTTTATGTGGTGCTGAGGATTGAACACAGTGCCCTACATGCTAGGCAAGCATTATACCACTGAGCCACAACCCCAGCCCCCAGGAATTCTTTTTGATAAAAATAAACAGACAATTGCAGAAATGATATACAAATTGATGCAGTGAGTGCCTAGGATAAATATATCCTAGTATGATATCATATTAGACACTAAAGAAATGACCTGAATTTTGTAAGGTTATTATTTTGGAAAATTTACATTCTAATTGGAAATAATTGAAAAACCTAGAAGAAATCGATACATTTTTAGACACTTATGATCTGCCAAAATTGAATCAAGACATAGAAAACTTATACAGACCAATAACTAGTAATGGGATAGAAGCAGTAATAAGATGCCTTCAAAGAAAAGTCTAGTAACAGATGGATTGTCAGCTACCAGACTTTAAAGACCCAATCTCAATGCTCTTCAAATTATATCATGAAATAAAAAGGGATGAAATACTTGCAATGTCATTCTATGATGCTATTCTCCTACTCATCCAAAACCAGGTAAGGACACATCAAGGAAAGAAAACTATGATCCCAATATCGCTTGGGTGCAAAAATGCTTAAGAAAATATTATTAGCCAATTATATTCAACATCTTCAGAAAATTGTACATCTTGACCAAATTAGTTTAATCTCAGAGATACAAGGATGGTTTACATACACAAATCAATAAATGTAACATATCACATAAATAGAATTAAGGACAAAAAATCACTAGGTCATCAAAACAGATGCAGAGAAAACTTTCAACAAAATACAGTATCCATTAATGATTTAAAAAAAAAAAAAAACACTGAAGAAACTAGGAAAGGCAAGGCATGTAATTACCATATGACCCATCTATAAAACTTCCTTGGTAATTATCCTGAAGAATCAATGTTATCATACTTTAATCTTATAGTGAATCATACATACACATGTAAAAAAAAAAGCACAATTCACAATAGCCAAACTATGGAACCAGATTACATGGCCATCAATGGATGAATGGATAAAGAAAATATGGTACATATACACAATGGACTTTACTCAGTCACAAAGAAAAATGAAATTACATCATTGTCATGAAAATGGATGAAACATGAGAACATTGTATTAAGTTAAATAAGTCAAACTCTGAAGAGCAAGGGTAGTATGTTTTCTCTCATATACGGAAGCTAGAGCGGAAAAAGGACGAGAAAGTTATAGCAGAGTCTCATGAAAATCACAAGGCAATCAGTAGAATGGAGAAAAATGGTTGAGGGGTAGGAGGAAGGGAGGGAAGGGGAAGTTCTGGAGAGTGATATTGATCAAATTTATTGTTATATTGTGTGACTGTACAAATATGTGACAAATACTCCCACCATTATGTACAACTATAATGAACCAACAAAATATGTAGGACAATAAAGCAACAACAAACACAAACCACAGAGTATTAAAATGAACTGAAAATGATGCAAATATGTTGGACAGAGTTACTGCATGGTTGAGAGGTGGGGTAGGCACAACTAAAGCCTAGAACATGAGCAAGTTCATTTATTTTGACCCATTATGAACCTTCTACAGGCTAACCCTATGGTGAGGACACAAACAAAAAGAGCATCATGCTGGGTGTGGTGGCGCATGCCTGAAATCCCAGTGACTTGGGAGGCTGAGACAGGATGATCACAAATTCARAACCAGCCTCAGCAAAAAGCAAGGAGCTAAGCAACTCAGTGAGTCCCTGTCTCTAAATAAAATACAAAATAGGGCTGGGGAGGTGGCTTAGTGGTTGTGTGCCCCCGAGTCCAATCTCTGGTTAAAAAAAAAAAAAAAAAAAGAACATCTTCCCTGAATTAGAAAATGTAAAAGAACTCAGACTCTAAATTAATCTCAGATTGTGCAAAACCTTTTAGGCCCAGCACATTGGTATGATCCCTTTGTTTATTCTCTCAACAAACTTGTCAATGATTACTATCCATGAGCTTCTTTGTTAGATTTTAGAAGCACCAGGAGTAAATTCCAAATTCCAGCTCTCCAGAAGGTTAAAGTTTAATAGAGAAATTGACATAACAACAACTAGTTTCTCCCCATATAAGGGGGAAAAATTACTGTACTTCAGTACTTATTTCACAGATACCTCAAATCTAGTACCCAAAAAAATAACTTATCACTTTGTGTGGTCTTATATGGTCCAAGTATAAACCTTTTCAGAAATCCTTACTTCAGTTAATGTCACAACACTCACACAGATGTGAAAAAGAAGATGGTAAACATTGTCCAAGATTTCCTCTCCCTTATCAGTAACCCCACTTTCAGTATCAAAGATATCTATTCTTCTCTTTCTCTTGTCCTCTACTAGTCAAAGCTCAATCCCCACCCCAACCCAAGCAACTGGAAACCTTAAAAGCTCTCTCTCAATGTCTGGTCTGTCCAACTATTGTCCGGAGAGTAGCCCCAAACATTTTCTAAATGAAAACTAGAACAGGTTAAACTGGTCTATCAATGAGTTCTCATTGCATTTTTAACAGTATAATTATCTTGTTTACTATGGAATGAAACTTAAAAGAGTAATCCTAAATTAGGACTCTGTAAACTTAACTCAGAAAAAGGAATAGAATTGATAAAATTATGTTTTTTTGTGTATATCATTACTATGGACCAAAAAAATGTAATGATACTAAAAAGGGCCTACTCAGGACCTGATACAAGTACCATGTTTACCTTAAATTGCAGCATTTCATCCTTATGGTAGGTCACCTGCAGGTGAAGGGGATTCACAGGTGTGGAGGGGAAGTTGTTGGCATAAACAGAAGGCTTTAAGGAGATGTCAGCCGTGGCCCCATGGGAGTTGTACTGGACATTGCTCACAGAGTACAGATCATTGACAAAATAACAATGAGGGACTCCAACAGAACTGGATTCCTGGAAAGGAAAGTTGAGACTGTAGATCAACAGGTGGTCCTAGAGTTGTCAAATAGAAATAATCAGAGAAGGCAATCTGTATGAGATGGAGCCAACACATCACTCTTTCATGTACATATAATAAGGTATTGACAAAAAGTAAATTTCTAGACACAAAGCAAAATATTAAAAATACACCACTCCAATCCACACCTAATCTTCATACACAGAACAGGTTCCTTGGAAGCCCTGTTTCTATGGAGTTGAACTACACACCTGGGTACTAGGGCTATGCTCAAGAAATTGCTGCCTAAGGTTAAAGATCTGGGTGTCCATCAACACCTCAGTGAGGTTACCTCCCAGGCACAGCCTCGGGCAATGCAGTTTGCTTCAGAAGCACCGTGCTCATCAGGGTAGCAGTCTATTTTTTCTTCATCTCTGATGAYTGTGTTCCACTCCACTGTGTATTCCTCTCCCAGCACAAGACTGATCTCTGTGATGATGGCAACCTGAAGCAGTGGAAAACACACAAAGAAATATCCTCAGAACAAAGGCCTGGCAAGATTTAAATATTTTTAGCAACACATATCAGTACTAGACCAGACTTTCAACAATCCAAGTAACATTTGAATATAATTCATATGGAAAGAGCTATATAAATGAAAGGAAAATATTTAGTAGCAATATGGCAAATATCACTACTCTATCACAATCCTGTGCATTATATTATGGAAAGAATAAGATCAAATAAAACACCGCTTTCTTTCATTCCCTGAGTTCTCTTCCCCTTCTGGGTTTCATCACTGGATTTCTTCTGGTATTGCCAAATTGCCTTTATCTCTTGCTCTCCACTCCCCAAACCAGTATTCCCCATTGGACTAGAGGTTTAGAAAGAACAAAGCAATATGAATCATATGGCCCAGACTTTCATTCCCATTCTTCATTGGGATCTTCAATGAATTATTTCCATTCTTTGGATCTCAGCTGTAACAACTGCAAAATTGGTGAGTTGGGAAAATCATTGCATTTTTTTAATTGCTAACATTCCAGTCTCTTCATTTCTCCAACCCAGATGTCCAAAATTTGAAATGGGGGGGGATCACAATTTCCATGTAAAATATTTAACATTTCTATGTTTTTCTTACATTTTCATCTTATTTTTAAATAGCACTTTCTATAGTTAATGTTGTTTTTCTCATTTGTCTAGAACAATATGATCACATTTTAAAGATTATCATATTTTTCCAGTCTCCCAATTCAAATCATCTCAAATATCCCTGTACTTCTAATCCTAMCTTCAACTCCACTTGGAAGAATGCCTAGATTTAAAGATCACTTATAAGACTGTATGAGAGAATTTAATGAAATGATCTTCTCACTTTGGCACTTCAGTCTCTCTAAAATCACAGGCATTTCCTTCTATCTAAATTTAGGTCCTTCCAAAAGTGAAGACAAGCTACGCGAGTTACACATTTTTTTTAAGAGAGAGAGAGAGAGAGAGAGTTTTTAAATATTTATTTTTTAGTTTTTAGCGGACATAACATCTTTGTTTGTATGTGGTGCTGAGGATTGAACCTGGGCCGCACGCATGCCAGGCGAGCGCGCTACCGCTTGAGCCACACCCCCAGCCCGAGTTACACAAAATTTACAGACTGATAATTGAGGAATATTTACTGTCTTGAATTGCCTTATCTGCTATCTCAACTTGTGATAACTAGGAAAATGTTCTTTCTAGAAAAATGATGGCCATTTGTGGAATACACTGCTACTTGCTTTCCTTATATAAAATAGTCCCTTTTTTCTGTTTCAGTRTAGAAATCATAAGTTCCCAAGAGAAGGATCAATGTAACATAGTGATGGTTATAAAATAGTAAGTTCAAGTTCACTGAAAGTTTCTAGTTAGGGGGCTCTTTCTTTTGATTTACAGGACTTCCACTTTACCTTATATCTTCTCTTTGTTCTCCATTTTTACCCTAATTTGTCCCACCATCAGTACATAGTAACTAGAACTCAGCAATCACTTCCAGTCCCAAGAAAAAACAAGACCTCAATTGTGACAAACTTGAGCCACTGAACCAATGCCAGCAATGGTCCACCTTCTAAACTACTAGTTGCAAATGGGGAAAATTTCAATTTGTTACAATTTTTTGTGCTCTGTCATTTGCAATTGATGAATCCCTATAGGATACAACATTTTTCAAGATCCAGCACTGGACTCAACTATTGCAGTAAGCTTTGAACATGAATTAAGATATCAGATAAAATTTGTCCTAAGTTCATTTAGGTTGCCAAGCCCCTTCCCAATTATTTCTTGTGTATAAATTATGTCTTCTTACCACCCACATTCAAGAAAATTTTTCTTCTGTTTTATGTTAACAAGGTTATTTGGCAAACATAGAGTGAGCCTATCTTCACATATACATCCTTTATATGACTTCCACTTTGTTGTATACATAAATGATATACTATTTACTTCTAACTTCATAATGTTTGCATGCTCAATAAGTGTTGTCAGGACCAATGTCAAATGCCATCAATATGTCATGATAGTAGAATCTAATTTTATTTATTACCCCAAATTTGGAAGGTCCTCACAAACCATGTTTACCCAGCAGCTTTAATGCCAGAAGCACCTGCCAGTCCCCATGGTCAGGACCATTTGGAGAAAGCATTCATCATAACACTAGGCATCAGAGGAAATAATTACAGGATGCACAGGATGGCCAGGTCAAATGATGAGAAATTATTTTATTATTATCATTTAACCAAAGAATCAGTCATCGGATAGGATCATCAAAGACCTAGTCTTCAAGTGGTTATGAGAATATATGTATTGGAGGGAGATTCTACTCATCTCATCTCTATAAAGTTTTTTAAAAGTGGTAATTTCAATATTGAATGCATGGGACTCCTTCCTCCCACCTTTACCTTTCAGCACCAGACATCAGCTTCCTCTTTCCCATTTCCTCTGACCTGTTCTAACTCTGCTCTCTTTGTGTCCACTATAACTTTATCTTTGAAAGTGATGCCAGTGAAACAGAGGAGAACACTGAGGGGCCGGGAAAAAACGGGATCATTAAAGAACATATCGCCTCCCTGTCCTTAATAGCTCTGCCCACCACCTCATCAGCACTTCTGTTCCCAGCCCTCTGATTTCCCCACCACGGGCTCCACACATTGCTCTGGTCCTTTAGGAATCCACACAACCTTGGCAAGAAGGAAAACCAAGATACTATGAAGAATTCTGGAAAAACAACTTCAACAAATGGATTTTTACCTTCAGCTGAGCATCATATGTGACCTTGGGAGCAGTCTGACTMAGGACACCATTGTGTTTCACTGTAACGTTGTTGGGTTTCTGTGTCCCAAAGATTTTAATCTGCTGAAATGCTAAATTATTGGGGTCCTTGTAGGTTGCTTGTGAAATCTTCACATCCAGGCGGTTCTGAAAGTCAAAATAGCACAATGAAGCCCAAAGCTGTGCCTCTAAAACACAGATTCCCCAGCCACTCAAATACTCCATCCTAGCCAGAAGCTCCCCACTGCTCTGAATGTCCTTAGCTGTCTCTACTAATGCATGCTCAATGACCACAAACACTTTAATAAAATCTGTGGGAAGGGAGACTTCAGGAACACACACACACAACCATTTTGGGAAACATTATTAAAAAAAAAAAAAAGCTGCTTTGATTTATCAATAGTATTGCCTTCTTTTGATAATATTTATAATGCAATTATTGGTAGTTAAGGTATGCCTAGAAATGTATTCACCCTGTGGTCATCAATGCAAATGAAGTTAAAAATAAAATTACACATTTGTGCTAATAGTAGACAAGAGCCTACACCTAAGACTCATAAAAATATACTCACTTGGGTGGCAGAAAATTCACATAAAAGATACATTTTATTGGCCACAGTATCTAAAAGCAGAAAAGAGACAAGTCAGACTGGACTGCTACCAAAGATACAATCTCTTTTAAGCTAATTATTGATGCCACAAATGATAAGATGTCTTACCTTTTTACAACTGAATAATATTCTGTGGTTTGTAAATGCCACATCTTGTTTATTCATTAATCTATCAGTGGACACTTATGCTGTTTCTTTATTTTAGTTTTTATGAATAATGCTGCAGTGAACATGGGTATGAACATATCTCTTTGACATACCGATTTCATTTCTCTTGAACATATACCCAGAAATAGGATTGTTGGATCATACAGTAGTTCTGTTGTTAATATTTTGAGGAATTTCTGTTTTTCATAATGGATGTACCAATTTACAATTCCACCAACARTGTGTAAGGATTCTTTCCATTTTCTTCAAGTCCCCTCCAACACTTATATCTTATCTTTTTCATAGCAAACATTCTAACAGGTCTGAAGTGATACTGTGATTTTCTACTTGCATTTCTCTGCTTATAAGGTTGACCAACTGTGCATCCTTTATGTAAAAATATCTAATCAAATCCTTATCTTATTTTTATTACTTCTGTTTTATTAGTGCATTACAGTTAAATGTAACAGTAGGATTCATTTTGATATATTCATAAATTCATACAATACAGTTTGCTGCATTTCAATCCCAGTACCTCCTCTTTTCTTCCCCTCCTTCCTCTCCCTGGTCCCCCTACTCTACTCTATTAGTCTTCCTTCTATTTATTTATTTTAGTTGGTATGTTATAGTTATATATAAAATCAGAATGTATTATGATATATTCATACATGCTCACAGCTCCTATTTTTAAATCAGGTTATTTATTTTCTTCCTATTGAGTGCAGGAGATTTTTATATTAATGTTTTATCAGGTACATAGTTTTCACATAATTTTTCCTATTCTGTGGGTTTTCTTCTTTTAATTCTGTTGTTTTTTGGCCTTGCAAATCTTTGATTTACTGCCACATCTATATTTTTGCTGTTGTTATCTTTGCTTTCATTGTCATATTTTAAAAAAAAACACTTGTAAGACCAATGTCAAAGAACTTTTCCCCTATGTTTTCTCCTAGAATACTTGTGGTTTCAGAACTTTAATCCATTTTTCATAATAGCCAAAATAAGGAAGCAATGTATYGATCAATAGACAAATGAATAAAGAAATTGTAATATATACATAGTGGTGTATATATGTATGTGTATATATATATATATATCTGAGTATATATCTGCATGTGTGTGTACATATACATACATATATATAATTATTTAATTTTTCAAAGGAGTGCTATTCAGACATTAAAAAGAAGGAAGTCCTGCTTTTTGTGTCAATATGTGTGAACCTGAAGTATATCATAATAAAAGAAATAAGTTAGGATGATCTTATTTGTATGTAGAATTAAAATAAGTTGAATTCAGAAGCAGAGGGTAAAACAGAATTTGCCAGGGGCAAGGGAGGAGGAAAATAGAAAGATGTAGGTCAAAGGGTAGAAACATTTAACTAAAAGAACAAGTTCCAGGAAGAAAAAATGTACAGCATGGGTGGTAATATGTTAAGTAATTTTATTGTGATCATCATTACACAATGTGTGAGTGTGTGTGTTTGTGTGTGTGCACATATATGTGTATACATATATATGTAAAATACATACGTGTACATGAATATATTGTTCATCTTCAGTATGTTCAATCTTATTTGCTGATTAAGTGTTTTTAAATAAAATAAATAAAAAGAATTTTTTTAAAGCTACATCTCAAAGTTAAGAAAATTGTGAACAAGTCTCCAAGGCCAAACTGCTGATTTTCCTTCTTCTTCCCATTATAGCCTTGAAGAGATTTCTTTCCAAGTACTTTCAAGTCATATGCCTCATGGAATCTAGGTCCTAAGCTACCACCCCCCAAATTTTTAGCATAGTGTGAGGAATAATACTGTTAAAAACACAGCAAGATATATATACAGTTGACATGTATATTTTTGCTGCCACATTGACAGAAGTATGTTTTCAATATCATCAACATTTGTTTATAGAGGGTTTTTATATTACCGATAAATTACAGGAAGATCATGAACAAGTGACTTTTCTTACTATGCCTTGTGATTCAAGTCCCTCTCCCCCTACTAGAATGACCAGCAGGAGTAGGGGCCATGAGTCAAAGATGTAGGAATGGAAATTGCACATTCTCATAAGAGACTCACCTTTGGTTTCCCCGTCATCCCAGAAAAGTTTTCCTGTTGCTTCTTTGTTCTCATCCAGGGCAATAATGAGACCAAGAGGGTTCCGTCGACTGTGGGAAATAAGAACTAGGTAAGACAAAAAGATCAGGACACAAAAAAATTTGCTGATTTGTTTCTACAAATTTCAAATAATAAAAGTTACTAGCAATAGATGGCCCTGCTTTCCTCTGAAACAAAGGACAAATTAGAAGGTGATTCTTTCTGTCACAGAAGATAGAGGTACCTCAAACATTATAATTAAACATCCATGTGGGAGGCAATAATTTAAGCATCAGAATCACTGCAATAGCTATAATAAAACCAGTGACTGCAACTATTACTTAGATACAAATTACTAGAGAAAAAGAAATTCTAGACAATAATGATACAGTCAGGTCATTTTAGAGATGAAACCTACAGAAGTGCCATCAGATGTGAGAGAGAGAAACTCTTCCCCACCTAAGGGCCTTTTTTACTCAGGAAGCAAAAACACACAACAATGTCCATTTACATCATGGAAACTTCCTTTATTTGATTACTTACTATTATTTTGTTTGGGGTGAAAAACAAAACATTCCAATTATCTGCCTTATAATTTAGAACAGGAAACACAAAATAATGCTCAAAGAATGGTGCAAGTTCTGGATATAGAGAAAGGGGAAGAAAGAAAGCATTTCTTTGGGTATCTCCTCATGTTGCCACACCTCTGTACTCCATCCTGGTTTTCAGTGTCTCAGGTACGCTTCCCTGGCCTAATATTCCCTGTGTGCTCTTTCACATGTTAGCCTCCACTGCACAAGTCAGGTTCTGTGACCAACAAAATCACCTGCTTTCATTCACAGTGCAAGTATTGGATGTCACTGCTAATCTAGGAGAATAAATCCCTACTTGTGACCCCCTCTTTGACCTTCCATATTATAACAAAGATTGGACATAGTCACCAAATAACCAAAGCAGAAAATGAACAGTGACACATAAAGTGAGATCCTACAGGAGTCCAGAGTGACACTTCCAGAAGGATGGTAGACTAGATATTTTAAAGAACCCACCCTCTAAAATATTACTTGATCCTAGATAAATTACAACATATGTTCTTATTAAAAAACATTGTTGTTCCTGTAGGAAAAATAGGTTATATATAAGAGACAAATATGGCAACAGGTAAACAATACAATGAGCTAAATCCAAAGGGTATCCAAAAAGCCAAACCTGGAATTTCTCTGGGGCTAATGAATAATAGGTCTAATACTGATAATAATAGGTCTAATATGGGGCCACTGATTGGCAGTCTAAGGTAGAGAAGTGGAATCTTCAATTCCCGTGTGAAGCCAGATCTTAGATGGGGAACTAATATGATACCAAGTTGACCATAGTCCAATTGCCTTTCAACCGAAGAGGAATTAGATACACATCTGTGACCTTAAGATTTGGGAACTAAATACTTAAGATAATAAGTCAGCATTAAATTTTCAGCAGAAACAATTAAATATCGGTGTATATTCCCCTAAGTAATTCAGATAAAATAACTTTCAGATAGAGAATGAAATGACTATGGTTGAAATACATAACAATATTTAGGAGAAAAGAGAAAAATCTTCTAAGGAGCAAATAATATTTTTTAAAGTTAGAAAGTCAAAGTGGTCCCATTCCCTTTACCAAAAGAGTTAGAGAAAGATTACTTGCAGATAAAATCTGAGCTTATCTTGGATCTTTGAAAATGTAAGAATACAAATAATACATGCTGCTGAGGTTGTGGGGGAAAAGATATACTCATTATTGGTAGAACTGCAAATTAGTGTAAGCACTCTGGAAAGCAACATAAAGTAAGATCCTACAAGAGATTCCTCAAAAAAACTAGGAATGGAACCATCATATGACCCAGCTATTCCACTCCCAACTATCATAAGAAAGAAATAGCTCAGTAGGAGAAAGTAATGGGAAGTTGAGGTTTTAGGAGGATGAATAGAGAATTCTAAATCTATATACTCCATGTAGGTATAATATGTTAAAATACACTTTTTTGTCATGTATATCTAAAAGAACAGATCAAAATTTATCCAAAGAATTAAAATCAGCAAACTATAGTGATATAGCCACCTCAATGTTTATAGATGCACAATTCACAATAGCCAAATTATGGAACCAAATTAGATGCCTATCAATAGGTGAATAGATCAAAGAAAATGTGTCATATATACACAATAGAGTTTCACTCAGCCATAGAGAAGAATGAAATTATAGCTTTGGCTATAAATGGATGAAAATGGAAAACATCATGCTAAGTGAAATTAGCCAGAGTCAGAAAAGCAAGGGTCAAATGTTTGTTTTCAGTCATATGTTGAAGCTAGAGGAAAAGAAGGGGACAAAGGACAGGGAGAACTGGATATCATAAAGACATAGGGAAGATCAGTGGAGTAGGAGATTGAGAGGGAGGGTAGAGGGAAGGGTAGAGGGAGGAAATGTGGAACGAATTCAACAAAATCACACTATATGAATATGTAACTATACTCCATACAGGGTATTCCATCTTTATGTATATGTAGAAAGAACCAATCAAAAATAAATAAATAAATAAATAAATGAGCAAAAGGAAGACTAGCAGTGTAGAAGAAGGAGACTAGAAGGAAGGAGTAGGGGAGAAAAGTGAGGCAATGGGGACTGAAATGGAGGAAATCACATTTCATGCATGTATGATTTTGTCAAAATGAACCTACCTACTATGTGTAACTATAATCCTCTAATAAAAACAACAAAGACAAAAAATATATATATGTACCTAATGGCTGGGAGAGTACTCAGTGGTAAACGGCTTGCCTAGCATGCTGGAGGCCCTGGGCCTGCTGGAAAGAGTATTAAGTGCAGATACCCAAATGCAACAAAATAGATGGCTATGTTTGTAGAGTAGTGCATTTGGGGTATAGTTGCTCCATATGTGTACTAAAATAGCAGGAAATAGAGTTATCAAGGCTAACTTGGAATCAGACTATGATGGGTCTTCAGCAGTCTCTTAGTGAAAGGTTCAGACTTAAGCCGGGATGAAACAAGTTAAGATTATCATGTGAGAAAGACAATTTTGGTGTCAATGTGTAGAAGAGCCTGAAGCTGAACAATTATAAAAATAAAACCAACTGGTGTTGGATTTGGGCATATTTTCGTTAAAAAGTCTATAACTGAAAAATTAAGGTAATAAAGGAGGTTCAAAGAAAAAGACAGGTTTAAAGGCCAAATGTTCTCTCTGATATATAGATGCTAACACACAATAAGTTGGGGGAGGTAAGAATAGAGGCTCATTGGATTAGATAAAGGGGAATGAAGGGAAGGGAGGAAGATGGCAACAGGAAAGAGAGTAGAATGAATCAGACATAACTTTCTTATGTTCATAGATGAATATACCACCAGTGAAACTCCACATCATGTATAACCACAAGAATGGGATCCTAATTAGGATAAGTTATATGCCATGTAGGTATAATATGTTAAAATACACTTTTTTGTCATGTATATCTAAAAGAAAAAATCAAAAAAAAAAGAAAGAAAGAAAAAGACAGGTTTGTGTCCTCTAAAGGACTCCCAGATTATTAAAAACAAATAAACTAATAATTTCAGGGTCACAATATATTTATACATCTCTTTAGTATAGATGAAGACTATACTTTTGGAATCAAAAACAGAAAAATCAACAGCATGGGAGATTCGAGATTTATAAAAGAAAGGAGTTTCTGAATCCAGTTTTGAATCATAAGAAAGAAATGGCTCAGTAGGAGAAAGTAATGGGAAGCTGAGGTTATAGGAGGATAGACAGGGAATTCCAAATCTATAAGTGATAATTAATGAGGCAAAAACCTGAGAACCATGCATAGATAGATGGTGAGGTCAAAGAAGGTGGGGTGACCAGCTGACCTGGCCTGCCCTGAATTGAGTTTTCTTAAGACATGAGATTTTCAATGCTAAAACTGCAATATCCCAGGAAAGCTGGCCAGCCTAATTGCCAGCGTATTTAGAGAAACTTAAGAAGAAGCAGGGATAAGATCTTTCAAAATCCTTCTATGTGCAGCTCTAGGTTGTGAAGAGGCCAAGGGAACACCAAGGACAGACTTAAAATCCCCTCAAGTCAGACACACATGCACACGTGTGCCTCAGGACTCTTCCTTCCTCACTCCATTCTGTGCTTCAGCATCCTCTAGTCAACATATGGAGACAGAAATGACCTGCTTTGTCAGGCTTCCCTTTGAGGATGTTCCCAGCCATGCTGTACCTGGCCATAGTCGTTGTACTTGGCTGCTGTGTGGGGAAGATATAGCCTCCTCGAAGGTGAAGTCCGATTTTGTCTCTAGGAATTTCCATCTCAACTTTTTGCTTCCTCCATCTCAATTGGGCCCCCTGAATCGGACAGATAGTCAAACACATTGGCCTTAGAGCCACAGTCTGCATTGATCGCCTGTGTGCTGAGTTATCTATCCATGGTCTCTCTTTTCCATTTAGCTGTCACTATATACTCAGGCAATCAAAAAAGGAAATAAAAAAATTAGGAGCAACATTTTTCATGGTTAGTTGAGGGTTTGTGAGATTGTTTGTTCCCTGCTGAGGAACAAATAATCATTATATATTATTTAACCCAATAGTTCTGAACAGGAATCTGATTCCTGACCAAACTCAAATTGCCCGTTAGTCCCTTTTATATTTGATCGTGAGACACCATATGAGTCTTTATCTTATTGTTGAATAAAAATATTTTTTTCAAATTCCATCATGACTGATATTATATTACTTAGTTTCACATTATCTAGGCTTTGCTGTGAAATTATGGAAAATACTACAGAAACATTCTTCAGTGAATGGATGGATGTTTCTTTTTCTAGGAAGTCATCTTGTTTATACAGCTGCAACTGTGGTCTTCAGAAGTTTAAAAAAGTCCAAGTTACTTACAGTTTCATAGTCATACCAGATGGCATCAGGCACATATGCCGTTACTTTCTCTGCACCCTAAAATTAAAACAAATATTATCCTTTATATCAGCCTCTGAGGGAATAAAATATGTTTTACTTATTTATTATATAATAGAAGTGACAATCACATCCTGAGCAGTTTGACGTTAGTGTGCTGGTCACTACTCCCTTCTGCCTCCATATCACAGATCAAAGAATAATCTGCTGTGACAATCTGGCACACCATAGGGTCACTACTTAAGCAGAGTTGTCAACAGATGTTTCTACATTGGTTGAGAATTTGCTCAAAAATAATGACTTCTAGAGAGGACTCTGTGTATCACATTTCCCACTTCCAGAACCCCAGAATACTCTCCTCACAGCTGACTTAGCCACAGATATTAAAAATGAGTTTGGAATAAAGAAAAAAAATGGGTTTGGAGGGGACACAGAGACAGAAGCAGGGACAACGAGTCTCAGTGAGAACACTTACCTCATCCAGAACTGGAGTGATGAGGAGACCTGGGCCCCATAAAAACTGCCGGTGCACATCCCAAGTTTCACTGTCCTGGTAGAACCTAGACACCAAGGAGACAGATCACTGAGATATGGGCCAATGCACCTGGCACAATTATTCTGAAACACCTATTCAACCCCTACCTAGCCCCCAAACAAATCTTCTTTCCCCAATCCCTGTACCCTCTTATTACTCCTTCACGTTAGAYAAAAATTCCTATTCTAATATCTATGCTAGACAGATCTCAGGCTGTAATTCTATTTGTCATATCCTCCTTTGAAAAAAAGTAAAATAACCAATATATTTTAGAACTTTCACTATCAAGAAGGAACTAAATCTGACCTAAAAAAAATAATAATGCAAATTTTACTTTTAGAAAATCTGCCTTTTAACAGGAAATTCTAGAAGACAGTGAAAACTTAAACCTAAAATGGATATACAGTAATGCAGATATATGCCTGCCGTATATATAAAGGAGGTAACAGTATTCTGACAAGGAAAGGCTCTTAAGTCCCGCCTTGCAGAGTTAACTCAGAAGTGCTAACTGGCTGGCAAACCAGAATTATGAAATTCTAGAGATCCTTTATGATATTCTCATTTCCTTTCAAATCACAGGCTTATTCCTGGAACTTAAACAGAGACCTAGCATCATAGTGAGTTATAGGAGAGACCATCAGAGTCATACTATTGACCTTCTAGAGCTGGAAGTGTAACTCACTAGAAAAGTGCTTGCCTAGTATGTGCAAGGCCCTGAGTTTGATCCCCAGCACCACAGGGGGCAAAAAAAAGACTAAAGAAACTAAGAATGAAAGATCTTAAATGGCATCTAAGATGTAGAATTTGCTGGTGGAAGAACAAAGAAAAGCCCCAAGATCCCATGACTTTAAGTCTAGTTTTCTCCCCAGAAGGAACAAGCTAAAATACTTAAATCTACTCCTATGGTAATATATAGGCTGCAATAACCTTACAAATAGCCAATGGGCACTCAAGTCACACACACACACACACACACACACACACACACACACAGTCACTTGCACTGAGTATGGGAGAACTTACTCATGTAGAAGAGGTCTGGCCACTGTGTCCCCTCGGCTATGAGCATAGTAGAAGAGAGTGTACAGGTAAGGCAATAAAGTATAGCGAATGTTAAGGTAGTGCCTGGACGAATTCATCAGCAAGGAGTCAGCTCCAAAGGAGGCAGGATCCTGGTCCTGGGAGGAAATAAAGGTTTGCTAGGGTGAGCTGTCTACAGAAAGAATTTCCTTCTTGAATGGCTGAGGCTTAGATTGCAAGCTTTGCCTCTGAGCAGTACAGCTGGACAAACAGTGACCATTTCAACAAGTTGTCATTGCAATTTGCAACTCATCTCCCTCATTCAGCCTAGAATTGCTCTGTTGAAATACTTTCCCATTTGCTTCTCATTACAAAACAAGTAACATACATAAAGTGTACAGTTCTTTGATAGAAAATGCTCACAGGGGGAGCCTCACACTGGTGGATTAGAGAAGGTAACTTTCCTGGTCACTCCCTGGTGTGAAGCCAAGAATCCAGACACACTGCTTCTTAGCAAGGTGAGAGAGGGGAGCTTTTCTGGGAATTAACTCTGGATATTCCAAGCAGATCAGGGAATCAGGTGATTGGATAAAACAAAATAAAGAAATCCCAGCACTGCTGCTGCCAGTAGTGGCACCAACAGGTGTTATCTCCCCTGCACTAAAATAGTGGGGTGATATATCAATTAAAGGAACCCTCAATTTTAGGAGGCCTGAGGTATGTACGGATATGGAGAGACCAGAGATCAAAAATATTCCACCACTAACCTGAAAGATGTCTTGCACAACAATATAGTGCGGAGGTGGGAAAAAGAAACTACGTCTTTCCCAGCTATCAGGGAAATCAGAGGAAGGAACCATTTTGCAGCTCCAGCATGGGGGCATGGCACCAGGGGATCTGAATCCTGACAACTGTGCCTAACCCAGAAAACAGGTTTGGCAAAACATGGCATAGTGTGTGTCTAAGAGACCAGAAGAAAATCAAAAGTGGAGTGGGGTTTATATAGAGGAAACTGGTTGAAAAAAACACACCTGGCTTCCCCTCTCCCCTTCCAGAATGGTAGCTTATAAAGATCAGACACTTGAAAGTTCAGCTGGGAAAGTCATGCCCTGCTGACAATCCTAAAGGGTGGAGAGGAACTGATTCAGTTCAAAGACTGAAACCAAGAGTCCTAAAAACACAGATTTCATTAGTGTCTGAGGAAGAATTGGCCCCTCCACCAAAAGAGTGAAACCTAGGGGTTTTTCCTAGGGCACAGTCTCCCAGCCACCCCAACAACTGCCAGATCAGTTTAAATTTTAACTGATTTAAAATCTCCAGACCAATCCAAGGCTGACTAAGCCTAAACCCTGCCCCCAGGAGTCCTACATAAAGAATCTCCCATCACATTCCAGCAACCCCACCTAACTTACCTGAGAATACTTGAAATTCAAAAAAAAAAAAAATTCCTAACTTTTCATCAAGATCCTCTTCATTATTTTAGTAATTTTAATTTCTATTTTTTAAATTTTTTTCTACTCACTGTTCAATTTTTACCTGAATGGTTCCTGAACACTTATACATATTCATACCCGTTTATTGATTTGTTTTGTATTTGTTTCTCATTCCTAAATTTTTTAAGGTATTTATTTCTCTTTGATCAATGTTTTAAGGACTAATGTTTGATTAGAATATGTCAGTCTTGTACAATCTTACTCTTAATTTTATTTTTATTATTTATTTTTCAATTTTTATTCTATAATTTTTTTTGTCTCACTTAACTGTTTCCCTGAAATCTTTCTCTCTTTTCCTCTACTAACAGCCAACATTTCTTGATCTATCACTCATACTGTTTTCTAATTCTATTTTCTCTCTTCTTCCCAAACAAACATCACATCCTACATTACTTCTTTTCTATCCCTGTTCATAACTTAAAATTATAAATCCATATATAAACTTACTGTTTTTACTGTGGGTAAAATAGCTGATCATATCATCTCTCTTTATTGTGATAACTAACATAGAAGATAACAAAGCAGGAACTATTTGGTTTGATGTTGTAAACTATTTCCATTGGTTGTTGTTATTATCCATCTCCCCCTAATCTATGAGGTTCTGGAAAACTTCAGAGTCCCTAGAAGTCCACTGGGTAGAATCTCTACTGCCTCAAACCATATTGTCAAATATGTAGACAAACCAATATAATTCAATAACAGAATCCATGAGCACCACAGTGGAAGAAATGACAGAGAAAGAGTTTAGAATATTCATTGGCCAGGTAAAAGACTATGTAAGGTAGAAAATGCAGGAAGCAAAAGATCACTTCAATAAAGAAATAGAGATTTTAAAAAAACAGACATCTTCAACATGAAGGAATCAATAAACCAAATTAAAAATTTATTGGAAGTTGGAAGACATCACCAAAACAATAGATCAATTGGAAGACAGAGTTTCAGGCAATGAAAACAAAATATATATTCTAGAACATAAAGTTTACCATGAAGAAAAGATGTTAAGAAACCATGAACAAAACTTCCAAGAAATATGGGATAACATAAAAAGGCCAAACTTAAGATTTATTGGGCTAGAAGAAGACTCAGAGATACTATCCAAAGAAATGCATAATTTTTTCAATGAAATAATATATGAAAATTTCTCAAACCTTAAGAAAAAATGGAAAATCAAACACAGGAGGCATATAGGACCCCAAATAATCAAAGTTACAACAGACCCACACCAAGGCACATTATTGTGAAAATGCCCACCATACAGAATAAGGTCAGAATTTTAAAGGGTGTCACAACAGATTACTTCTATAAGGAAACCAATCCAGATCTCAGCTATTTCTCAACCCAAACCTTAAAGCTAGGAGGCCATGGAATAACATACACCAAGCTCTGCAAGAAAATGGATGCCAACCAAGAATCCTATACCCTGAAAAATAAAGATTTAGATTTTATGATAAAATAGAAACCTTCTATGATAAATGAAAGATAAAAGAATTCACAACTAGAAAGCCTGCACTACAGAACATTCTCAGCAAAATATATCATGAAGAAGAAATGAAAAATAAGTGTGAAAACCAGCAAAGGGAGGAGCTACACTAAAGGAATAGTCAAACAAAGGAAAAAACTAATTCAAATTTAAAACCAGAAATAAACCAAAATGACAGCGAATAAAAATCATTTCTCAATTTACTGAATGTAAATGCCCTAAACTCATCAATCAAAAGACATATAATGGCATACTGGATTAAAAAACAAGACCCAAAAATATACTGACTCCAACAGACTCACCTCATAGGAAAAGAAACCACAGACTGGAAGTAAAAGAATTGAAAAAAAAAATTATCAGTCACATAGATCTCATAAACAAATAGGGATTTCTATCCATCAGATAAAGTAGATTTCAAGTCAAAATTAATCAGAAGGGATCAAGAAGGCCATTTCATACTGTACAAGGAAACTATACTTCAACAAGATATAACAATCTTAAATATATATGTACCAAACAGCGAAACATCTGTTCCACTGTCAAATAAAAAATAATAATAATAAAAAACCTTCACAAGTTCAAGAATCAAATGGACCACAACACAATAATACTGGGTGACTTTAACACATCTCTCTCACTACTCAACAGATCTTCCAAACAAAACCTAAATAAAGAAAGTATGAACTAAAAATAAAAAGTCACCAAATAGTAACCTAATTTTACATCTCAAAAATTAGGTTATTATATATGGAAAAATAAGAACAAATCAACACCAAAAAGCAGTAGAAGACAGGAAATTGGGACTGAAATTAATTAAATTGGAACAAAAAACATTTAAAAATCAACAAAACAAAAAGTTGTTTTGTTAAAAAAATTAAGCAAATTGACAAAACCTTAACCAAGCTAACAAAAAGAAAGAGAAAGAAATCTCAAATTACTAAAATTTGTGATTAAAAAGGAAACATCACAGACACCACTGAAATACAAATAATGATCAGAAACTAATCTGAATATCTATACTCCAATAAATAAAAAATATGAAGACATTAACAAATTTCTAGAAACATATGACTTACCCAAATTGAATCATGATAGAGAAAATTTAAACAGAACAATTTTAGGAAATGAAATTGAAGACCCCATCAAAAGCCTACCAACAAAGAAAAGCCCATGACCAGATGGCTTCTCAGCCAAGTTCTACCAGATCTTCAAAGAAGAACTTACACCAATTCTCTTCAAATATTTCCATGAAATAGAAAAAGAGGGAAACTTTCCAAACTCTTTCTGTGACGCTAGTGTCACCCTGATACCAAAATCAGACAAGGAAAGAAAACTTGATACCAATATCCCTCATAAACATAGATGTAAAATTTCTTAATCAAATCCTGACAAATTTCATACAAAAACATGTTAAAAAGATAGCACACCATGATCAAATGGGGTTCATTCCAGGGATGCAAATTTGGTTCAACATACGGAAATCAATAAACATAATTCATCACATCAGTAAACTTAAAGACAAGAATCATACAATTATCTCAATAAACGCAGAAAGGGAATTTGACAAAATTCAGCATCCTCTCAAGTTCAAAACACAAGAAAAACTAGGGATAGTAGGAACATACCTTAACATTGTAAAAGCTGTATATGCAAAATCCACAGCCAACATCATTCTATAAGGATAAAAATTGAAAGAATTCTTTCTAAAAACTGGAACAAGACAAGGATGTCCTCTTTCACCATTTCTATTCAATATAGTCCTTGAAACTCTAGCCAGAGCAATTAGGTAAAAGAAAGAAATTAAAGGTATACAMATAGGAAAAGAAGAGGTTGAACCATTCCTATTCACCAACAACATAATTCTATATTTAGAAGGCTCAAAACACTCCACCATAAAACTTTTAGAACTCATAAATGAATTCAGCAAAGTAGCAGGACATAAAATTAATGCCCATAAATTAATTCCATTTCTATACATCAGTGATGAATCAACTGAAAGAGAAATTCGGAAAACTATCCCATTCACAAGAGCCTCAAAAAAATTAAATACTTGGGAACCAATCTAATAAAAGCTGTGAAAGACCTTTACAATGAAAACTACAGAACAATAAGGAAACTGAAGAAGACCTTAGAAAATGGAAAGATCTCTCATGGTCTTGGATAGGCAGAATGAATATTGTCAAGATAGCCGTACTTCCAAAAGCACTATAAGGATTTAATGCAATTTCTATTATGGTTTCAATGACATTCTTCACAGAAATAGAAGAAGCAGTCATGAAATTCATTTGGAGAAATAAGAGGCCCAAAATAGCCAAAACAATCCTTAGCAAGAAAAGCAAAGCAGGAGGTATCACAATACAGACCTTAAATTATACTACAGAGCTATAGTAACAAAAACGGCATGGTATTAGCACCAAAACAGACATGAAGACCAATGGTAYAGAAGACACAGAGACAAACCCACATAAATATAGTTATCTCATACTAGACAGAGGTGCCATAAACATACACTAGAAAAGGATAGCTTCTTCAACAAATAGTGCTAGGAAAACTGGGAATTCATATGTAACAAAATGAAATTAGAACCCTATCTCTCACCCTGTACAAAACTCAACTCAAAGTGGATCAAGGACATAGGCATTAGATGAGAGGCCCTGAGCCTGCTAGAAGAAAAAGTAGGCCCAGATCTCCATCATATCAGCTTAGTAACTGAATTCCTCAGCAAGATTCCTAAAGCACAAGAAGTAAAATCAAGAATCAATAAATGGATGGTATCAAACTAAAAATTCTTCACAGCAATGGAAACAATCAAGAAAATGAATAGAGAGCCTATAGAATGGAGAAAAATCTTTGCTAACTCCACCTCAGATACTRCATTAATCTCTAGGGTATACAAGAACTCAAACAAACTTAACACCAAAAAAATCAAAGGACCCAATAAATAAATGGGCAAAAGAACTGAACAGACACTTCACAGAAAAAGAAATACAACTGGTCAACAAATAAATGAAAAAATGTTCAATATCACTAACAATTAGAGAAATGCAAATTAAAACTACACTGAGATTTTATCTCACTCCATTCAGAATGGCAATTATCAAGACTACAAGTAACAATAAATGTTTAGAAAAGGGTGGGACTGCAAATTGGTGCAAACACTATGGAATCCATTTGCTTACATGTCTCATTTTATAAAATTATAAACTCTTTGAGAAGGTTCTTTCTTTACTGTATTTATGCTTCTCTCCACACTCGTCATGCAAACTTAGCACAGCACCTTTAACACAACAGAGGTTCCTCATAAAACTTGGAATAGAATCACCATTTGACCCAGTTATTAAAGGACTTAATTTCAGCATGTTATAGTGAAGCAGCCACATCAATATTTATAATATCTCAATTCACAACACCTAAACCAAGGAGCCAACCTAGGCACCCTTCAACAAATGAATGGATAAAGAAAATGTGGTATATATACACAAAGGAATATTACTCAGCCATAAAGAGAAATGAAATTGTGAAACTGGAGAAGATCATACTAAGCAAAATAAGTCAATCTCTGAAAACCATAGGCCGAATGTTCTCTCTGATATGCAGATATTAACTCAGAATAAAGGGTGGGGGTCTGGGAAGAATAGAAGTACTTTGGATTAGACAAAAAGGAATGAAGGGAAGGGAGAGGAAATGGGAACAGGAAAGACAGTAGAATGCATTGGACGTAACTTTCCTGTCTTTATATATGAATACACAACCAGTGTAACTCTACATTATGTACAACCACAATAGTGGGATCCTAATTGGAACAAGTTATTCTTATTCTATGTATATATAATATGTCAAAATACACTCTACTGTCATGTATATCTAGAAAGAACAAATTAAAAAAAATAAGAGCATCAGTAAATAAGAGAGGCTGTGATAGTAGGGGCATTATAAGGTACAGCACAGGTTCTGATTAATTGCAAATGCTGGTACAAATTAGCCTAAGTATCAGGTAAAAAGTTAATTCAGCAGGTTCCTTGTCAAGGATATGGACAGATCCACTCAATATATGCCAATTTTTTTCAATCATACTTCTTGTAAGCCTCACCTTGTATTCTCGGCCATTGTGATTTCTGGAAAATGGATAAAATGCTCCCAGCTGCATCCACCGCCTGCAGAGCTCCTCAGGGGCATCCAATGCAAAGCCACATATGTCTGCACCCACCTGTAAAGACACAGTCAGCATGGAGACCCCACTTCCAGGGACCCTGCTAACAGGACCTCCCAACCGAACTAAGTTAAGACTTTCACTCAGCAGCCTGATGTAGTGTGGTCAGAACTGACTCACACTGGCTAACATAGACACAGTTACCTAAGTGGGTACAACAGCTTTTTGATAAATTGTAACTAGTAAACTGCTAAAATTATTATTCTACCACACTATTAAGACTTTTCTAAAGTCTTACTATGATCATGATTGTTATGATCACAAATTCAAAAATCTTCAGGAGCTTCTTGTTTCTCATCCTATTAGCTTGTCAAAGCCTGATTSAAATCTCCCTTTCCAGCATAATCTCCCATTCCAATTCTACACAACAATCCTTATAGTCACATCAAATACTCCCCCTTATACTGTTTTTGCCAGGATTTAGTTCTCAATCTCTCTGAAGCTTCTCCCATCATTAGTCAGTTTTCAAGGTTAAATTCAAGCACCATCTTTTCTGTGAAGTTTCTTTTGACTTTCTCCTCTGACTCCATCACAATCTTATCAGTGTTAATAAATCTCTTTCTCAGGATCCCTCATCACATGTAACCATTTGGTTGGTCATAACCATTTGCTTACATGTATCATTTTATAAAATTATAAACTCTTCGAGAAGGTTCTTTCTTTACTGTATTTATGTTTCTCTCCACACTCATCATGCATACTTAGCACAGCACCTTTAACACAACAGAAGCTCAATAAATATGTTGAATTTAAATAAAAAATGCCAAAGCCTCTCAAGTGCTGTCAACGTTATATGTTGCTTCACCTGAGTACTCCAGCGTGTTCAGTTTGTGACACTGATCAGCCGTAGACTGAAGGATCAGTGTACTTTTCTGAGTGTAAGTTATTCTTTAATAGAAAAAAAAATGGCCTGGGAGATATCAAGCTTTCTCTCCCTAACTTCATAAATCAGTAGAGGGAAGGAAGTCCTGGTTTTAGAGCCATGTTGATGAATCACATGCACACAAGACATTAAATCCCTGGGCCACAGCAGGCAGGGAAGGGAGGTTTATGGTTTCAAAACTTTCTAGAATGGGGTTTCCTAGAGATTGAGATTCATAAAAGAGCTTGAGACAGGGACTCACCATTGGAATACCAAAAAGGTTGAACTCAAGCATGCCAGGGATGGACCACTGAAGGTCATTCCAGGTGGCTGCATTGTCTCCTAACCAATGCGCTGCAAACTTGCCAGATCCCGCAAAGGTAGAACGGGTTATAATGAGGCTTCTCTTATTAGGGAACACAGTCTTGACAGCTCTAGAAAGAGGGAGAGATTTAAGGTATCACTGTGATCCTAGTTTGTCCCAGCCCAGGGGATACAGCAACATAACAAGGTTATTTAAAGCAAATACCCCATTATTCTCATCTCATTCTCACCTAATAGGGCTAGAATGGCCTTGGGGAACAGTCTGCACCATTAAGTATATTCATATTTTGTTATATTTCATTTTGAGGTATTTAATGGACATCATTAACCCCATAATTTACAAGAATTTTAAACCCAAGCTTGAAAAACCTAGAAACTAAAGGGATATAATTTTTCTAGAAAAAAATGGTAAATTTAATTTTACATAGATGTATAATACTAATATTTCATATCATTGAGACTTCAGACATACACAAAAATGGACTTATAAATAGTCTTTTTGGAAGTTAAACTTCTTTCGAGAAGAAAGATTGTAGTAGTAGTTCTGTAATAATAAAAAAATTTAAATTATATATGCCTGTGTGTACTTTTATAACTAAATACAAGTATGAATTTTCCATATTTTTAAATTAGAAATCTAAGTGTGTCCATATAATTTAAAAGTTTTGTGAGACGAGTGAATGTGATTTGGGTCTGGTTTCCTTCTGTTACTGTTATAGCAAGTCAAATAAATTCTCAATACTTTTCTTCATCACAGAACTTAATACAACATAAAAGTAAACAGAACACAGAAGGATGCTGAACCAAATCTAAAATCCTAAAGCACATTGATATACAAGTTAGCTAGGGCTTTGGAATTGTAGAAAAAAAAAGAGCCTAAGTTTTGCTTTTGCAATGTATCAGCTGTTTGGTCTTGAGTTCTTGCTTTCTTTTCTTCCAATATTCCATTCACTCAACTGTTCTTTCATTTTATATATTCCTCAATTATTTGTCTGATTCCTTCTTCCCCATGTGTTAGGCAGTTCCTTCATTCATTCAATAATGATAATATACTTATCATGTAGCCTTTTAACAAATACTACACATGAGTCATCCAGCATGTAGAAGACTCATAATTTGATCATGTGTGACTTCATCACAACAATGGTCTCACTCTGCTGTGGCGATCGCCATGGAGTAGCCATACAGGTTGTGGACATCGTACTGCTTGCCCCAGTGCTGTACTGCATCCATGCAGAGACTCTTGGAGAAGAGATACCCATCCAGGACTCCTGAATCAAAAGTGTGATCAGTCAGTGAGAGCCACAGATGCACATTCCTACTCCCTGACTGTCATACAACCTGTAAAGGCAGCTCCCCAGGGCAGGATTTTATTGTGCTAACCCTGTAAACGATGATACTGCTTTCTCACTATCAGAAAGCTATCCCCCTGAGGTAGTTTTGATATATAAATAAATTTTGCAGACCCATCAGTATTCGTCCACTCACCTAGGCTCTCAATTGATCAGAGGCAGGCACAAGAAACTAGAAATCTGTCAGACTGGAGGTTTAATTGGAAATTTTTAAACCAAGTTTAAAAAAATAGAATTAATGGATCAAACTAATCAATTAATTTCTGATTAGTTTCTAACTCTTCTTTACCTTGACCATATAGTATAAAAATTATTTCCAATCTTGCTTTCATGTTTCTATTCTCATTTTTAAAAATAATTTTATTTTTAAAAATACATTACAGGAAAAATAAAAACACAAGCAATGAACAAAGTCATCCAGTCACAAGAAGCTTAGTTGGACATGTCCCTCTAGGTTGTCTGCATATACATGTATCTATTCTCTATTGTCACTGCATCATTTTAGTTCAGATCCAATTACCTTTGCATCTTGACTATTGCAATATTTCCCTAATGATTTATGTGTTTTTGGTCTATCTACCATCTAATTTATACTGCATATTAGTACCAGATTAATACTTCTAAAGCCATTTGACTATCATACTTTCCTCTAACTAAAAGATAAATAGCTTCTATCACCAAAAGAATGAAATATGAACTCTGGCCTTCCATCCAAACCCCTAGACATTTGATTCTGATCTACTCACCCTAACTTTCTAATTTTGCACCTCACTGAAATTATCAAAAGGTGGTACAATACTGGTAATGTCATTCCTTTCTCAATAAAGATTCAATGTGTTCTTGAGTCTATGCTTTCTTTAAACCATAACCAATGCAGTGATGCCAATGCTGTACCCTGAGAGATAGTGCTGCTCAAAGCTCAATTAAGCTCAGGAGCAAGCAACACATTCACTGATAAAACCTACCTTGGACCAAGTCTACTTGTCTCTCTCTGGTAAGCCCTAGATTGTGGGCTGCACACTTGAGATTGACATATGCTAACCACCAATCTCTGGCTTCTATGCCATATTCTGTCTGGCCCTTCCCCTAGAAATGGTTTGGACCATAGCTAGACAGATTAGTTGCCCTTTTTGAATTCATTCCTCTTTAGGAAAGCATAGAGTGTTTTCATTTGCTTCCCCAGAGTTCTTGATATTTTATCCCACATTTTCTTTCCCTGTGTACAAACTCCCTTGCCAGGTTGTTCAGACCCTTCCTTATGAATTTAAATTATTAAATAAGCATTTCCATTTTAATCAGGCTGACCACAAAGACTCACTTGGAGTGAAGAGGGGATAATTGAGGTTGTTTGTGGAACATCCTGAAACTGAACCATCAACAAAGTTGGAGACTTCATTCATATCCTTCAAGACAAAGAACAAAAACTATTAAGAGAAGCAATATTTTCCATAACAGTATATTGATGGTGACTTTTTTAAAGAATCAAACAACTTATTCCAGATATTTCCTTTTTAAAGGGGGTATTTATGTACATGGAATTAAACAGCTGTTTCTATATTCTCTAGCCACTACAGACATCATAGAGAAGTTTCTTAGTATCCCTTTTAAATGATATATGTTATATTCACTCAAAGTGAACATTCTCAAATATACTAGGTAAAAATTTTTAATTTACATTATGTCATATGTATATCAACTTACACCCACTATATATCCAAATATAACCTTGTACTTTATGACAATGTTTGGGGTATATGACCTATTTTAACATCAGCTAATTTGTTTCCTTATTAAGGAAAGCTAGATTCAAAAAATTCCTGAGGTCCCTCCCAATATAACTATGAATAAACAAAAATATAAATACATAAACATATATAATAGATACATATATAGAGAGAGGGACATTATGTGCATGTGCCAAAGCTGTAAAAATGAAAGATATGGAAAGATTATACTAAATTATTTTTATGGTAGTTGTCTTTGGTGGCTATCACTGTATAGTATTTTTGCTTTCATCTTTTTAGTTGCCTTTACTATTTGAATTTCCTACAGTTCTTTAATAAATAGAAAAATTTTCAACTCTAGAGCTCTTTATTTTTTTTTTTTTTGGAGCGGGGGGGAGAGATAACCAGGGATTGAACCCAGGGGTGCTTAACTACTGAGCCACATTCCCAGCCCTTTTTATAATATTTTATTTAGAGACATGGTCTTGCTAAGTTGCTCTAGGAAGAACTCTTCAAATTTTGCTGAACATTGGCTGGGTTGTATTGTTGTCATTTGACATTATACTACACATTTCTCCTTACAAAGGCCTCAAGACACTTTGGCTATGATCGCTTTGCCCAACATGGCCAAATGCAAGAGCCTAAAGCAGGCAATTAAACAAATTCATGAATTTTATGATAATTTTAGTATTATGTGACCAATAGGCTGATTTTAATATCAGCCTATTTATTTGTAAAAGGAGAGCTAGATTCAAAAAAATTCCTGCTTAGAATTTTGATTCTAAGCAACATGTTTTGGTAAGATTATTTTAACCATAAAATAAGGGATACTAGGAATTATCGTCAAACTTGTTTTCTATTACTCCTCTTTTCCCTATGCCCCATGACTAAAAGATGTAGACATAGATTCAACTACCTGAATATTCATCACCTAAGAATTAAAGTGTTAAAAACTCACAATCCAGATTCCATCAAACTCCACTTCACTGTGGAAAAGCTCAAATTCCTTTGCCCACCAAACAGCACAGTTGGGATTGGTGTAATCAGGAAACACAGTTTTACCAGGCCATACCTGCAAGAGAAAAAAGGGAAACACTGATAACAACAAGTAAATGAGTATAGAATAAAATAAAGAACTTTACTTAGAAATTCCTAATATGATTATTGAGATGGAGGTGCCCAGACACAGGCTAGTTCAAATAGGAGGATGAACAACTCAGAATATTGAGAATAAATGCCAGGGCCCCATTGAATTGCCACTTGAGGAAAATTTTGTTTTTAAAAAATGGTTAAGTCCGTAATGAGTGAATCCATTGGAAAAGGGTATTGTTTAACTTATTGATCTTCAACTATGGTTTAGCCTTCCCTAAAACTTTCTCTGCTCTCAATTCTAAGAAGAGTAAATTGGAAAGTGTTCACTATAAATTTCAACTGACAGTTTATGTACTCTAATATCATTTACTTTTCTCTCTTCCTTCCCTGTCCTGTTTTTCTCAGACACTGTACTCTGAAAGGGTCCTCAGAGGTATTAGAAGTGAACTGGTAAATCATGTCTTTGTGGGAAACAAGTGCAAATAAAGATACGAGAAAGAAGCAGTCAAACTTATCAAATACTACAAAGAAATTGAGTAAGAAAGCAGGAAACATTTCCATTGGATTTACCACGTAGAAGGTAACTAGTGCCATTTTCCAGTGACATGATAGAGGAAGAAGGAGACTGTGGTCAGCATTGAGAAGAGCTGAGGTGTGGAAGTGGACACTCAGTGTGTGAGCTACTGTTTAATGGGGCCAGGCTAGGGAAGGCATGTAAGAACTAGGTTGGCTGGGAGATATTGGGGAAAGAAAGGGCAAAGGAAAGTTTTTCCTCAGAATCTACAAGTTATCTTCAAATATACAAAACAACCCCCGCCCCAACACACACACACACACTGCCATAGATAGCCCTCTTCCAGCCCCAGCTTCCCCATGAAGTTACCTCCCCAATGAGTGGATTCACTCCATCTGAACTATTCACCCATATCTTCATAGCAGAGCCCCTGTCATATGGGCCATAGGGATGGCTCTGGGAAGAGTTGTTGGAGATGGCTGGATCCTAAAGGGAAAAACATGGTGGAGAAACTAACTTTAAACTGAAGGCACTGAAAGGAGACTTGGAGTTAGAGACCAACAGGAGAGTGGGTGTAATGATCAGAATGAGTAAATCCCTGATTTCAGAGGGAAAAAAAGACTGTATATACCACAATGATAACAAATTTCTGTCCGTTATTGTGTAACTCCTTAATAAACTCAGGAAAGCCGTTAAAATCCACTGGGTCATACGTGAAGTCCCTCCTCTCATCCATATAATCAATATCGCCATGTTGAACATCCTGAAAGAATACAAAGTACACAATTCAGTACCTGGGCCATTTCCATGTTCAAATGAGTCATTCAAATTAAATAAATGTGTTATTTAAGACAAATGCCAACTCTGTGCTGGGCTCTAAACAGTCTTAATTAGTCCCTGGCATCTAAGAGCTTTTTTTCCCAGAGCAATTTCAAAAATGAATGATCCATTATTTCCCTAAGGCTTGACCCCACTGCTACAATCAACTTAAAGCATCATTTATGACACATACTGAGGCTATCAAAGTAAATTTTACCCTGACCTCAAAATAAAAAGAGGAAGGAACTGTCTCTTCTTTCACTTCTCTCTCATTTTATCACACTGCCTTTTATGCATTACTTCTCTTCTACTTTAAGTCTTTGGTGTCATTCTTTTCTAATTCACCTGTGTGAAAACAGTGGATCCAGAATGACATTTACTCCTGCTCTAAGACACAGTTGTTTTCTCCAAGGGAGTAGTATGGGGGAGAAGAAAATTTTTCCAGAAACTTTTTGGGCTTTTCCCTTTGCATCTCTTCTGAAACCTCTTTCCCCATTCAAAGCATACAAATATTTTATTTTATATATATATATATATCTTTTTGCCCATTTAAAATGGGCAGAACTTGAAACATATATTTAACTCAGTTAATAGCTTTCAATTCCATGTCTCCATGCTCCCTTTGACATCTCACTTCACTATGCACTAGTAAGAGTCCAATATTGCCGTTCCCTAGCATCCTTAAGAAGGAAATGACTATATATACATAAGAAGAAGGACATCAAAAGTAGAGAGCCATTATAAGGGTAAAGACTTGAGCTTGAAAGTCAGTTTCTCTGGTTGTCTGATATTAAATGGGGCTTATAATCTTAAATAGAATTCTCTTTTTATAATTAAATTCTTTYATTTATATATGACAGTGGAATGCATTACAATTCTTATTACACATATAGAGCACAATTTTTCATATCTCTGGTTGTATACAGAGTATATTCACACCAATTCATGTCTTCATACACATGTACTTTATATAATAATGTCCATCACATTCCACCATCATTTCTAATCCCATGCCCCTGCCCTTCCATTCCAACCCCTCTTCCCTATCTAGAGTTTGTCTATTCATCCCATGCTCCCTCTTCCTACCTCACTATGAATCAACCTCTTTATATCAGAGAAAACATTTRGCAGTTGGTTTTTTGGGATTAGCTAATTTCACTTTGCATTATCTTCTCTAATTCCATCCATTTTCCTGCAAATGCCATGATTTTATTCTCTTTTATTGCTGAGTAATATTCCATTATGTATATATGCCACATTTTTTTATCCATTCATGTATTGAAGGGCATCTAGTTTGGTTCCACTATTAGCTATTGTGCTGCTATAAACATTGATGTGGCTGTGTCCCTATAATATGCTGTTTTTAAGTCCTTTGGGTATAGACCAAGGAGAGGGATAGCTTGGTTAAAAGTTTTCCAAAAAAAAATCTCCATACTGCTTTCCATATTGGCTGCACCAATTTGTAGTCCCACCAGCAGTGTATGAGTGTACCTTTTTTCACACATCCTCGCCAACACTTATTTTTGTTTTTCTTCAAAACAGCTGCCATTCTGACTGGAGTGAGATGAAATCTTAGAATGGTTTTAATTTGCGTTTGAGTTCTTTATATATCCTAGATATTATTGCTGTATCTGATGAGTGAGCGGTAAAAGTTTCTTCTCAGCAAAAGAAACAGTATCTGAGGTGAATAGAGAACCTATATCTTGGGAGCAAATCTTTACCCATCACACATGAGATAGAGCACTAATCTCCAGGGTATATAAAGAACTTAAATACCATTCTAACAATAAAATGAGATTTTTGAGACAACTAAAGATGGCAATTAGAATTGTATCTGCCAAAAGAATTTAATACATGGTAGCTCTCATTATTTCAGCAATTGTTCTTATGATCCTTTGCTTCAGTTCTGCCTATACACTTCTCTGTTATTCCTCCCTGCATCTTCATCCCCTCATGCAGAAAGTTGCTAAGGGATGAAGAATAAGGAGTAGTGGGGACTGTGGCCAAAGTCTGGAAGCACTCTCATCTTCTGTTTTCCCCTATTGGTCATAGGCCTTTATATATATATATATATATATATATATATATATATATAATAAAGATATAT